GTTGTTTCTTGTAATCATTTTTAAGGGATTTGGAGCATACTTTCCTTATTTCTTCTGCTATAATTTATTGTTTTAGAGTAGCTTGGATGATCTAAGGTGAAGTGTAGATTTTGGAATAGAGTACACTCTTTCATATGCCCTTATGTTTAGTCTGGCATTTCCATTATTGAGGATCATGAAGTCTTGGAAGTTCATGGATTTATTGTATTTGACTGATTCAAGGTAATTTTTATGTGAGGATGATATTTCTTTAGCCAATGGAAAAATTTGTTGATAGTTTGATGTTGTGGCTGTAATAGAAAAATGTCTTCAATAGACCTTTTAAAACATAGAGGCTTTTTTGTTAAGGAGGAAAAGGATTTGAGAAGGAAAGACATGACAATATTGGTGAGAAGGAAGGACCCAAAGCAGTTTCCCTGGTTTCTAAGAATATGCTGCCTCTGAGTTCAAAGAAATTATTTGTCAAGTTAATCTGGAGATGAGTGATTAGATTTTGGTGGAAAATTAGAAGGTCTTCGTGACTGCACATTTCTTGATGAATGATGTCTGGACATTCCATTGGTGGGATGAATAGATAGAGGTTGCATACATCCAGTGTCATGAGTAAGGTGTGTTGTCTGGCATTGTGATCGACTCAAGCTCTGTGACCAGTTGGGTGAAAATTTTTAAAAAGTCAACGTAGGACTGTGCCAGAGGTTGTAGAGCATAATATGTAAAGTGAGCAGTATGTGAGAGTAGCGAATTAAAGTGAGTGACAATGGGTCTGACAAATGGAATGCCTTCATTGGTAAGAGGTTTTGTGTATTTTTGGTATGCCATACAGTTTCAGAATTTAATTTCCTTGAGTTGGCTGTAGATATTTTGACAAACGTGGAATGGGTGCAAGTCGAGCATTGAAGGGTGACATGAGAAAAAATTTTTTCCAATTACTACATATTCACATTGAAGGTACCTCAAAACAACCATTTCTAGTTGCATAATGTTGAGTTGTTAATAATAAGAAATTAATTCACAAAACTCAACTGTAAATGTATGTGTTAACACACTTGATAATAACAGATGAGAGTTAAAGTGGAAGAGACATTGGACATTAATAATGATGAAATTGATAAGCACAATATGTATGTGAGCAAGATACGTGTGTTTGATTATTGACATATTGATTTGAATAGTCAAGAGAATTGAATGAGAGTCGGATGAGAGTCTGATCGGTTATCGAAAGGAGGTTGAGCGTTGAGAATTTGAAGATGATGACTGTTCGAGAATTTAGACTGCAGACTAACAGACTAGGACTAAGACTAAGACTAACTGAATTACAATTTGGTTCTTCCTTAAGTAGTAGTGCATGTGGTTATTAAATTAAAGTTAAGTTATTAGTTGTAAATTATTATAGAAGTAAATTAACACTTAAGTACTCCCCCTCCAGTGAATGAACCATGAACGAAAATTAAAAGAAGATATTAAGACGATCGGGCCATCAAATGCCACGACCAAAACGAGTGGTCCCTTTATTAGATTGTGAAGTGATAGGAGGAGTGTTAATAGGAGTAGGATTAGGAGTATTGAGATTATTATCATTGTGAGTAGATGGAGGATTTGAGTTTGAGGGAGTATCAGATGAAAGGTAGTGAAGGAGAGTGTTCAATGTAGGCAGGTTTCAACCCATCTAGAGAGATGACCTGATGTTTACTGTCGACATCTAGAGTAAAATGTTTGTCACTACATTATATAATTCGATAAGGTCCGTCATATGGTTTTTGCAAAGAAGTACAGACAGCATCATGTCGAACAAAGGTGTAAGTACATGTGGAGAGTACATTACTGATGTAAGTGTTTCGATTTTGAGGTTGGGGCGGAGTAGCTCATAAAGATTGCATGTGAGCTCTAAGTTGTTTGACAAAAGTTGTGTGATCAAATTGAGTGTTAGAGAGAGAGATAGAGAGAAAAAATTCCAAGAACTTTGTAGTGCAGAACAAGTTCAGCAGAGCTGAACCCAATATTCTCCTTGATAGTAGCTCGGATACCCAGTAGAGTAAAAGGGAGACCTGCTGTCCAGTGAGTGGGTGAAGGAAGAGCTTTAATAGCAGCTTTCAATTGCCTATGAAGAAGTTTGACCATGCCATTAGCTATCGGATGATAAGCGGTTGTTCGAATTTTATGATAACATAACAGCTTCATTTGATTGGACCATAGGTGAGACTCGAATTGTCGACCCTGATTAGTGGTAATAGTAGCTGGAGCACCAAAACGGTATACCCAGGAAGAGAGGAAAGCATTGGCAACCGTTTCAGCTGTACTATCAGTGAGAGGAATTACTTTAGGCCACTTTGTGAAGCGATCATCAATAGTGAGGAGATAGGTGTATCCTTCTGAAGGAGGAAGTGGACCAACCAAATCCAAATCGATGTTCTGTCGTTTAGGTGTGGTAAATAAAGACAGTGGTGTTACTGTGTGCCTTTGTATTTTCGATTGTTGGCATTGAAGACACTGTCATATCCATTGGCGAACATCAGCATTGATTTTAGGCCAGACGAATCAAGATACAATGAGACAATGTGTTGCTCTGATTCCAGGATGGGACAAGGAATAAAGGGCTGTGAATACAATGCAACGTAATGGTTTTGTTACCAAAGGACATTTAATACCTGTGGATACATTACAAATTATATTATTATTAGAGAGAGGAGAAGGCATTGATTGAAGTGTTAATGAGTGTTGAGACGGATTGTTCACTAATTCTTTAATCTCTGTGTCAAATAATTGAGCCTCAGCCTGTTCTTGCATGTCAGTAGTTGGAGAAGTATTTGTTGTCTGGTTCTGAATGTTGATACGTGTCAAAGCATGAGCCACTGGATTGGCAGAGCCTTTAACATGCCACATGTCAGCAGTAAATTGTAGAATAAAGTCTAAATGACAAATTTGTCGTGGGGAGTGTCTGTCTAAACGGAAAGATGGTAAGAAAGTCAAAGGTTTGTGGTCAGTTAATATGTGAAACATACGACCCTTGACTAAGTGACGCAAGTGTTTGATTGCTAAGTAGATTCAGAGTACTCTCTGTCGAAAGTACTGTATCGTCTTTCAGTGGGCGATAGAGTCCTCGAAAAATACGCGAGAGGCTGCCAAGATCCATGGACAAATTGTTTGAGGACAAATCCCACTGCTCATCAGAGGCATCGGTTGGAAAGCGGAGATGCATCTGGCTTTGTGTGAGAAAGTAATCTTGTGCTAGACACTCTTTGATGGTGTTAAATGTGGAGACAGCAGAGTCATTCCACTTGAGTTCCTTATCAATCTTATGTGCTTTACCTAAAAGAGAGTTAATGGCAGAGAGGATGTGAGCACAATTAGGAATGAAACCATGTTAAAAATTGACTAGACCAAGGAACTCATGCAAGTTTCGTTGGCTGGCTGTAGAAAATCCTTTAGAGTCTTAACTTTTTCAGGGAGAGGACGAATACCATCACGATTAACTAAATGTCCTAGAAATATGAGTTCGTGCTTTCCAAACTCTCATTTAGTAGGATTGGTAATGACACTATGTTCATGGAATTGTCGTAGTACCTGTCTTATGTGTTGTTTGTGGTCCTCCTTATTGGAACTGGCAATGAGTACGTCGTCAATGTATGCACAGACACTTGGAAGACCTCATAACACTTCATCAATGAAGCGTTGGAATGTTTGAGCAGCATTGCGGAGGCCAAAGGGCATACAAACCAACTCAAACAGTCCAAAAGGAGTCGTGATGGCTGTTTCTGGTATGTCTGATGGCTCAACTGGAATTTGGTGATATGCACGTACTAAATCTATTTTAGGAAAGATATCAATACCATGCAAAATCCTAGATGTGTTGGATTGGGTAGCGATCCGGAATAGTGATTTTTTAGTGAGCAATAGTCCCCACATGGTCTCCAATTGCCGGACTTCTTTGGAACCATGTGCAATAGAGAAGCCCAGCTTCCAGATGAGGGACGAATGATTCCCAGCTGTAGCATATGCTGAAATTCCCTTATGGCAATATTAAGCTTAGCTGGTAAGAGACTTCTGGTGGGTGTGTAAACAGAAGGCCTGGTTGTTTGTATATTGTGGGTGACAGTGTGTTTGATGGGTTACTGAGGGCTTGTTTGGAGGACGGAAGGAAAGTCTTTCATGATGATTTCAAAGTCGTTTTGTGGTTGAGAAGATAGAAGGGTGAGGCAAAGGGCAGGTCGAGAGGAGGTCTTGCAGTTGACCTTTAGCTTTGTGGTTGAGTCAATGAGCAGGTGTCTGTGCATGTCCACCATGAGGCTGTAATTGTGGAGAAAATCTGCCCCTAAGATGGGAACAGCAGCCTCTGCCACAATGAATATTCAAGGGAAGGACCATCTCAGTCCAAGATTGAGAGTGAGAGAATGTTTTCCAAATGTAAGAATAACAGTCTTGTTAACGGCATTTAGTATCACTTGTTGTTTGTTTTTGCGATCAGTGTGTGAAGGGATGAGAACACTGACCTCTGCTACTGTATCAACCAGAAAACGTAGCTTTGTTGAGAGGTTGAAGATGAGGAAAAGGTGACAGTTAGAAAGGCCAGCAACATTTGTCGCCACTAATGGCTGGCCGGGTTGTTTCCTGTCTAAAAATAGCCACGCTGTCTACACTGCCGATCGTCTTTACTGAAAGACTTATGATACCAGCAGGAAGAGGACTGAGGATCAGCATTTTCCTGTGGTCGTCGAGGAGAAGGTGATATACTACGAGAGAAACTTCTCTTCTGAGGACGAAGAGACAGCTTGAGTTGAATTCACTCTTGCTTGAGTTGAGCTAGTTCAGTAGCTAGATCACTGTTGACAGCATTTATGATCGGCAGAGATGAGTGTGGTGATGTTGATACCTCCATGATTTTGTCAGCTAAGATGGCAAGGTCTGAATGGTAGCAGTAGCTGGTGTAGAAGCTAATACCATATGGACATTGTTCGGGAGGCGTTGAACAGCTCTTTTAGAAATAGTTGAGAGTTGGCTGCTGCTTAATCTTGTAACAACTGCTCCATTCGACGTAGGAGCTGTGATGGCTTCCTATCCCCAAGTTCTTGACCAGTCACCAGTTGCTGTAAACAATGCTGCTCAGAAGCAGCTGTTCTTTTAATTAGAGCAGCTTTGAGTGTGTCGTATTGATCTGCACCCAAAGTTTTGAGGACTATATCTCGAACTTCGGTAGCAATGTCTGGAGAGATAGAACTGACAACATAGTCATACATGGTCATTTTGGATGTGACATTGCGGGTTTTCAACTGTGATTCTACCTGGGCAAACCATATCTGAGGGTCTACTGGCCAGTATGGGGGCAGTTTCAGTGAGACCGCAGCTACAGTGGGAGAGGCTGTTGCAGGGGTAGCAGCAGAGAAGCCATCAGTAGATTCTGAGGTGTTCATATTGTTTGTCCGGGTCACCAATGTTGAGTTGTTAATAATTAGAAATTAATTAACAAAACTCAACTGTAAATGTATGTGTTAACGCACTTAATAATAACAGATGAGAGTTAGAGTGGAAGAGACATTGGATATTAATAATGATGAAATTGATAAGCACAATATGTATGTGAGCAAGATATGTGTGTGATTATTGACTTATCGATAGGGATAGTCGCGAGAATTGAATGAGAGTTGGATGAGAGTCTGATAGGAGATCAAGAGGAGATCGAGTGTTAAGAATTTGAAAATGATGAGTGTTTGAGAATTTAGGCCTTGTTTACATGAATACGACTTGTGATAAAAAACGCAATAACTTACTTATAGATTATAGTTGCATTTACATGGAAACGACTTAAAACGAGTCAAAACTGAACACAAAACCAGTGAAAACGAAAACGGCTTTGAAAGTGGAAACATTAGAAAACGATACTCGAACAGAAATCTTGTAAATAAAGTATACGAAACACTATCCTGAAACAGATAAATTTATGGGCGGTATTTGGGAGTGGTTATGCAAAATAATTAAACATGGAGAAAAAGGTACTAGCTATTTTCTACACTATTGTGCTGCTCTCTTCTCTCGCCCTGAAGTTGAATGCTGAAATTGTAGCTTACACTGTGATGTATTATAAACAGAGGCAAGGTACTAGCTATTTTCTAAACTAATGTGCTGCTCTCTTCTCTTGCCCTGAAGTTGAATGCTAAAATTGTAGCTTACACTGCACGTATTATAAACAAAGGCAACTGTTAGCTAAAGATTTACACTTATTGGACGGATATAAATGCAGGAATAATAAGGCAGCTCGCAAGTTAAAGAGACTAAGGAGATTTTGCGTGAAGCCTGGGAGGGCTACAGCATGGTGGGACAATTTTGCAGCTGAGGTAGTTGTTGAAGAGGAGTGGAAGGAAAATTTTAATATTTCTCAGTGTAATTTTTACAAGTTATGTGATGAGCTCCGGACCTTCATATAAAGAAAGGAAACAGTTATGCGTTCATCTATAGATGTTGAGAGGCAGGTAGCAATGACTTTATACTACCTTTCTGCTGAAGGCAGACTTTGTAAAACTGCCAATGCATTTGGTTAATCTCAGTTCTTTTTTCTTTTTGCTGTACTGAGTATTTTTATTTGGCTGTAGATCTAAAATTATTTATTGTATTACAGCAATTTTTATTGCAAATTTTATATAGGTGAAAACTATAATTATCATTACTATAACATGAGTACATAACAATAGGCATAACCCTATATCATTAACTGGCCAAAAGACAGCCTTGTGAGGCATGGAGTATTCTACTATAGAAATAAACTTTCATGCAGGACTTTGGTTTTGCAAAAGTAGCTTGTAACAATTTTAAATTCTTGCTGTGAGGAGATTAAAACCAGCCCAACTCATGACAACATGTTCTACAGGTACAACTTTTCGGCTATGACTTTACTCTTAAAATTAAATTTTGCTTATGTAGCTTTTTGCCATGTTAAAATAATATTCATTAGAATATGTGGCATGTAATTATTATTATGGGAAATCACACTAGCTCTGTACAGGCATTTGCAAGCATATCAATCATATGCAAGTTGATATATTATTTAGGAA